TAACTTTTATATTATTTATTTATCATTGTATGTATATAATCATTGCTAACAAGTTATAATATATAAATAAAATTTAAAAAATAAAGGATATAAAAATAGCAAATTTAATAGTTAAAAATTGCCAGAAGTTAATATGGTTTTTCTATAGGTTGAAATGCAGCTAGTTTACAATCAAAATTTTTTTTATGCCAAGTAAACCTTCCTTGAGCTTCTAACAAAGATTATAGAACAAGTAATTCTGGTTCTAATAGTAATAGAATTATTCAAATTGGTTTGGTAGATTGTGAGTTATTGGCATTTTCTTCTTTATAACTACATAATGTCAAAAACTTTCAGTATTCCAAAATTATATGAAAGTAATAGTAATTCTCTGCCAATTTTTACTATAAAACTTATACTCTTCAACTGTGATCTACCACTTAATATATTTATCTCTTTGTAAAAAAAAAAAAAAAAAAAAAAAATCAATAACTTTGAAGTTTATTCTGACTTTAATTTTATCCTTACCTTTATTATTGCTACGATATGAACAAATCTTGTCAACTTGTTATATCACAAAAGGGACATTCAAAATTAATGATTGATGGGTACTTGTTTGTAAAAGATTATGTGCATGAAAATACTTATTACTGGTCATGTGAGAAAAGAAAGTCAGAGCCAGAGTACTGCAAGACTCGAGCAATTACTATTCTTTTAAATGGGTTACATTACCTAAAAAAAATTGATAAACATGAATATGCTCCTCAAACCGGCAGTAGTGAAATTGCTCAAGTTGTTGCTCGTATCAAACAACAAGCTCGGGATACACAAGATGCTCCCTCTAAAATAATTCAAAATAATATCATCACTATTCCAAAAAATCTTTCTCCTTATATGCCCATACAAGAGGCTCTCCGAATGAGAATTAAGCATATTAGGATGGCTAAAATGCCACCACAACCCCAGACTTTTATGAGGTTGATGTTCCGGACTCATTACATTTAACCTTAAATGGTGACCTATTTTTAATAGAAGATTTAGAACTT